CTGGTTATGATTCATCCTTATTAATATGGTCCCTTTCTTACTTAACATAACTATTTCTGCCGATGCTCCCTATCAATACTCAGACCTTGCTAATACGCTTTCTCTCTATGGGCCGCCCTTCTAATCTCAGCGCCATGGTCTTGTGCCTTCCGACTTCTGAGCCCATACCGAGGAATCATCGGCTGCTTCAAAGGTTTTTCCTCAACACCTCCAGATCTTTGTAGTGTTTGCCACCGCCACTCCATGTCTTTTTCCTTCCCGACCACATTCTTCCTTTTCGCGCTCGCTGTTTGCAGTCCTTTAATAATTAAAGTGACAACTCCGGACCGGTTCTAAGCTAGCCTCGTCTGAGTATTCTCCCACATTCTGACTGTTTCCAGACATCTAAGGCGTAAACGATTTAGGCTCTGCAGTCGCAACACACTGTCCCTTAGCCTGAGAGTTTCGCTCGGCATGCTAACTACGTTTCATATTGCCGCTCCGGTCTCGTAATTCTTCTTTTCTTATTACGCCCACTACTGTTATTCCCACCATCATTTCGCGGCCTGGCTCACCTTGCTGATTTACCTGGTCTAGTCTGAACGGTCTCCAGGTTTCTGACCTTTCGAACTTATGAGATCTAAATACGCTGGGCTCTGCCGATGCAACAATCTCTACCTCACACCTCAAAAGTATTGCTGGTAATGATTCACGCTTTTTATTATGCCCCCAATTCATCCTTAACATGTCAATGTCTGCCGACGCTCTCTGCTAGCATTTCGACATTAATGAAACGGCTTTCTCCTTATGGGACGGCATTTTAGTCTCGTCTCAATGGCCTCCTGCCTTCCGACTACTGTGGCCCCGCAGATGAATCGTCGGTACATCCAAAGATCTGTTCACAACACTTTGCGATCTTTGTAGGCTTTTCCACTTCTTTGCAATGGATCCTTTTCCTTACAGACCTAATCCTTTTCGTTTTGCACTCTCTGTCTGCATTACTTTTTCACTTGGGAGGATATCTTTTCGGGCCTTGTGCTAACCTAGCCTTGTCTGACAAGCCTCCTGTTTTCTGTTTGCATCCAGTCATCCGAGATGTAAACGATTTATGCTCTGTAGTCCTAACACTCCTGGTCCCTCATCCTTAGCGCTTTCCTCGTCAGGTTATATGCCTATTCCTGCTCTAAACTGCCACCCTTACCCCTATTATAATGCTGGCCATTATTTCTTTCCGTATATTAACAAGGATTCTATCAGCTGAAAAACAACTTTGGCTTTTCCAATTCTCCTCTATAGAACACGTTTTACAAACCCTTTTCTTTATTTCCCTTGCTGTTTTTGCTTCCTTTCTTCGTTTGACGCTAACTTACTTGTTTGTCCTCCACGACTCCTTACATTCGCACTTAGGTCTGAAACAACGCGCCCGTTTGCTTCTCTTGAATGGTGTTCTTTACTATATTCCTCACAAATCGTCTTCCGCCCTCTGGTTCCCACACTTTGGGCATATGCGCTTTAGGACCCCGCAACCTCTCCTTGATTCACCTTCATTCCTCCTTTGGAACAATCCTTCATTCTTTACTGCTCCGTGATCTGCGCACCTCCTTTATTTCGTCACCTATGATTCATCGTTATTTCTAAAACTGTTCCTCTATGAACCACAATACCACTGAATATTCTCTCTACATCTCGCTTCCGTTCATCGCATATTCCTGAGACTTTTATTACCATTTTGGCTCTGGCTTTCCTCTTCCATTATGGACCACCTACATACGATACTTCACCGACTTACCTTTCACATTGTAGCTTTGCACTGGTGCGTATGACCTCAGGAATCTGGTTATGATGCCTACCTATAACCTCATCTCGTAATACTTCTTCACTTATCGCTTTGTCCCTGGATTTCCTGTCCACTTATGGACAACCCACCTCTGCTGATCCGCCGACTTACCTTTCACACTTTAGCTACGCACTTTGCTGCGAGGGATCTCAAGTATCTGGCCATGCTGCCTGACAATCCCTCGTCTTGTCATAAGGCTTCAAGTATCTCTTATGCTCCGGCCCATTCCGTCTTACGAACCACAAAGCACCGATGCTCCGCCGACTTACCTTCCACACTCTATCGCCGCAATCTCTTGCTAGAACCTAAAGTAACAGGCTAGGTAGCCCAAGCATATGCTTATTGCCAAGCTGACATCCCTTCTTTTAATTGTTACCCTATGAACCAAAACACTATGAAATATTCTCTTTTAATCCCGTTTCCATCTATCAAATATTCCTACCACTTCCCTTACTGTTTGGCTCTGGCTTTCCTGTCCTCCTAGGCAACTCCTATCTGCGGTCCTCCAACGACTTAGCTTTTACACCGCAGCTCCACACTTTTGCGCGTAAGACCTTGAGTATCCCGCTATGATGTCTACCTATAATCTTAGCTCGCCCTACTTCACTTCTCGCTTTGCCCCTGAATTTCCTGTCCACCTGTGGATCACCTACCTCTGATAGTCCACCTATCATCTTCCACACTGCAGCTCCAAACTTTATGTGTAGAACCTTAAGTAGCAGGCTTTGTTTCCCACTTATATCCTTAGCGCCAACTGACATAGGTATATCCTATAATAGTCACCTATGAACCAAAACACCATGAAATATTCTCCTTTAATCGCTCTTCCATTTGCACGTATTCTACTACTTCTATTACTTGTTTGACTTTTGCTGTTCTCCCCTCCTAGGCATCACCTATAAACGGTTCTCCAACGACTTATCTTTCACATTGTAGCTCCACACTTCTGTGCGCAAAACCACAAGTATCTGGCTATGTTGCCAGGCTATCACCTTATCTCGTCCCGTTTCTTCACTCATCTCGTTCGTTCTTGCTCATTTGGTCTTACGAATCACCAAGCTCCGATGCTCCACCGGCTTACATTTCACACTGTAGCATCGCACGTTTGAGCGTAGGACCTCAAGTACCAGGCTACGTTGCCCAATTATATCTTCATTGCCTAGCTGACCTCATTCTCTCTTATAATTTTTACCCTATTAACCACAACACCACTGAGAAATTTCCTTTCATCCCGCTTCCATTTTCCCTATATTCCTACAACTTTTCCTACATGTTTGGCTTTGGCTTGCTTTTCCACCTAGGCACCACTTACCTACGGTGCTGCAGCTAGTTATCTTTTACAATGCAGCTCCGCATTTTTACTAGACACCGCATCCATATCTTTACACATTACAGGAATATAGAATGGCTGGATCCTTGACCTTGACCTTGACGCGGTAACCTGGAATTTGACGTTCCTTACTAACGAGCTTTTTAGATAAAAGCCGGTGAAAAACAGTGTTTGAACAAACACTAACGGAAGCACTTGACATTTGTCAAATGGTTCAAAGAAGTGAAACACAGCCGAAGGTCCCCAGAGCTATGATCAGGGGAAGACGCCGGATCGGCGTTCAGAAGGATAAGGGCACTACCAGTAACGGTCTTGCGCCCACAGTAGTCTCAGCACTGACATCCCCGTTAGTCAGCCATAATACAAATAACAACGTGTAAACCGGTAACTATGCGGCTCCCACACCAGAAAAATTAGCTAACTGCTTTGTGCTCCTTTCCGATCCACGGACGGATGCACTACATGACGCTAAAATGTCAGTAACGTCACTAAACTCATTACCACCTAAGTGTCCGTCGCCTTTGCTTTCAGACTGTAAGACAGCACCACAAGACCAGCTTACAGACGCGCTTCTTAAAGTCCAAAACATCGAAAATGAGCTAAACTCGGTGAAAGCAGAATTACAAAATATCAATCAATTGTTAGTTAAAATTCTACCGCTGGCGCAGCTACCGGATCTACATAAATCAGACAAAGTGGAAGATCTTAACGCAGCGGGTGAATTGCTCAACACGCTCGCCAAGGAAGTCAATGAACGAGTCATCCGTGCATGAAATGTAATAATATTTAATGTGCCAGATCGAATACCACTTGAGAAAGTGACACGCTCACTTCTAAGTGTATGCAAAATGGACCGGGATTGCTGCTCATGCAGCCGTCTTCGAAAAACAAAAAAACCGACCATGCCCAATTGTCCTCCAGTTCAACAACCAAGACCACGCCAAATGCTTTCTAGACTACAAGTTCATCATAAGAAAGCAAGCAAATCTCGGGCCCATACTGATTAAACAGGACATGACGCCACTGTAAAGGGCGCTCATGTCAAATGTACGAACCCCTAATAAACGGAGTCTGCACAATTCCATAAATATGCTCCTGGACCCTCTCCAACAGCCCCTCAGAAGAAACGCTACTGAATGGTCTTCAGTAACCGCTGTCACGACCTTTCCCAATTCAATTGTCAATACGACGCCAATACCGGGCATGCAGTTAACTGATATGCATCTGAACGCAACTCCCACGGCAAGCTCATCGCTGGCCTACAACGTTGACATGGACATGTCACAAGGACAATTAAATCCTATCGCATTAGAGGTACCGGCAGTTGAAGGACAGGCAAAAGTTACGGCCACCTTGAATGTAATCATGGACAGAACAGAGTGCAGCGAGAAGCCCAACGGCGTGTCTGATGTACGTGACACGTACACTGAGCTCGATAGCCTGTGCTTCCTGTCATCATATACACCGCTTTCCAGTATCGTAAACGAGCTCACGCAGCCTGATACTGACACGGCACCTAAGCCCAGCTGCCCGAACCCAGGTTGTTCTATAACTGTGTCTCCTCAGCTCCCATCCAAACCACAATATTATAATAATGAGTCGATGCCCAAACGCGCCAAAACGGCCAAGATAACACCCACTTGTTTAAAATACAAACCACGCTTTACGCCGAAGCCTAGTAAAGCAACAGTCAAGGTTGAGCAGCCACAACGGAAGAATTATCTCCTTGTAACCCCTAGCTCAACAACGAGTAATTGGATTAAACCCAAACCCCCCTATACTTTTAGCCGATCTGCATCGCCACTCTGGCAAAGCCCAAAGCTATACGCAGACCGAACTAAGCATGAAAATATAGGCAGCACAAACCGTCCAAACACCAGCTGGCCTCAACACCCTCGTTACGAAGCAAAATCTACCACATCTACAGTCAGGACTGAGCGGTCACAACGTAGGAACTACTTACTTAGAACCCCAAACCCCGCGACGCACAACCAGACCCCGCATTCACTTCGCTCCTCTACCGGCCGAACTGCAATGCTGCGCGGGCAAAGCCCAATAAGATATGTCGCCCAGACCAACCATACAAATATAGCCAACATAACTCGTCAAAACAAAACTAGGCCTTCACCTCCACGACATGAAACGAAATTTCCTACAGCGACAACCGGTATTGAGCAGCCGCAACGCAAGAATTGCTTACTCAGAACACCAAGCCTCGCCGTGCGTCTCCAGACCCCGCGCAAAACCCAACACACCGTTGACCAAGCAGCAAAATCACCGGGACGATACCCACATGGGCGCAACGAACCGATGAACTCTGCACATGCCCCGATCCCCCATCCACCCATCCCATCACGCCAGTCAACACTCCTTCAACAACACACCATAATGCCACAAATCATGACGACACCTTCCGCGGTCCCATTTTTGTGGGACGCCGCAAGTTGCGGGCCTCCTCTCCTAGCTCGCGAGGGTCATGCGGTGGCTCTCTATCACCTGACCCGATTCCTAGACATGGCACAACTGATTCCAACCAACATATCTCAGGCATTCAGACGGTTCCTCTAAACGCCAACCTCATGACCGACTCCGGGCTAGATTTCTCGGCTCGTATGCATCAGCAGTTACCTCCACATCCTTCCCCCCTCGGATTCGATGCTCCATGCTACTCCCAACCTCTCCCATTAGTTTCCACCGACCTACCCGGCATGCACCTCCACGCATGCATGCAAACAAGCCCCTCACCTCATTCTGGATCGCCTGTGATGCTGCTAGACGGTTCACTCAATTTCAGCAATCCAACCTATAAATATACACCAAGAGATGCCCCAACACTCCCCACTACATACCACTTCGACGAATCTAGTAAGCTGGGGACCCACAATATGCTCCTCATCAACGCCAGGTCTATTAATCAAAAGAATCACCTTCTGGGTCCGATAATTACCATGTCCAAAGCACAACTGGTTCTAATCACAGAGACATGGCACTCAGCCAGTTCGTCTGACTCACCCACCCAAATACCTGGCTACTCTTCATTCTGCAGTGGACGCGAAAAGCGACGAGGCGGAGGATGCCTCATCTACGTCAGCGAAGGCTTTCATGCATCCTCCTTCCAAGTACTATCTTTGGGTAACCCGGAATACTCTATATGGATTCAAGCAGATGGCGAGCACCTAAATCTCCTCATTGGTTGCATCTATATTCGACCACATATCTCAACAGCTGAAATCCAAAAATTGGTCGAGCTCTTCACCGAAGTTTCGCTGTTACCTGCATGCCTTAAGATAATCGGCGGTGACTTTAATACGCCGCACATTGAGTGGTCTACCCAGTCCGCACCTCCCAAATATAGAGCGTTTGTCGACGTTATCTTCGCGTACGACTGGACCCAGCATGTTAACGTAGCTACCAGGAAGTCTAATATCCTTGACTTAATATTCACGACAGGCATCAACCAAGCACAGGTTTGTGTGCTTGACAACCTTCTTGGTAGTGATCATAAGGCAGTGAAGTTAACATTCAGACTGCCCACTACTAAGCAGTACAACCTCTCCCCCAGCGAATCCTTCCGTCCTCTACAACGCGTCGACTGGGAAAGCTTCTCCACTCTTCTACGATCTCTTAACTGGGATGCATTCTTTCTGGCAACAGACACAGATATGGCGACCCAAGAGATATACAACCACATTATGTTCTGTCTTGACGTGGTCGCTCCTAAGCAGAACATGAGGAAGCTTACGAAACCGAAGGGTGTAGCGGATACACATAGAGTCCTCAATAAACTGAGAAAAATGCGCTCCAACTACAACAAGACAAAGGATTTCCACATAATAATGCGCATGAACGACACACTAACAATGTGGAGAAACCTGCAAGCCACGTCTGCCACATCAGCGGAACACGCTGCACTCAACAGTACCAACAAGGTTAAAGCACTCACCCAACTGATGAAACGCAGAGCTCTAACAATTGCCTCATTATCACTTCCTAATGGCAATCTCATGACGGACCCCGCCCAACTCTGTGATTATATCAACATGCACTTCTGCAACACTTTTTCGGTCCCTGATTCGGCAACTTCGCTTACAGCACCCGTGCTCACCGATGATAGACTGACCATCATCGAATTTAACCTACGCGCAATCGTGCGAGAAATCCGTACACTCAAAATGTCCCAATACCCCGGTCCTGATGGCGTTCCATCCGTAGTGCTGATACTAGGAGGTCCGGACATTCCAGTTCTCCTCCTTAATCTATTTACACTATCCATGACAACCCATACCTTCCCCGCTGCTTGGAAGCATGCTGTAGTCCTACCACGACATAAACGAGGATCCCGTCTCGACATTGACAATTATCGGCCTATCAGCCACACACCCATTGCATCAAGAGTTATGGAGAGACTGGTGAAAGCAGAAATCCTTAACTTTCTTTTGCCTCGCAATCTCATTAATAGATCTCAACACGGGTTCCTGCCCTCGAAATCCTGCCAGACTTGTATGTTTGAGTTTTTAAACCACGTCACTGACACGATAAATATAGGGCATAAAGTGGTCATCATCTTCCTCGACATGAAAAAAGCATTCGACCGCGTTCCACACCTGAAACTACTGACCAAACTCGCCTCTTTTGGCATCGCCGGGAAGCTGCTCTCCTGGTTCGCATCCTACCTATCAAATCGAACACAATCGGTGAGCCTGGGCGGCACGCAGTCTTCGAAAAAAGCTGTCACAAGCGGAGTCTTTCAAGGAAGTGTCTGGGGCCCCATGCTCTTCTTACTCTACGTCAACGGCACCTTCCAAGTCTTCCGCTGGGGAACGCCATACCTATTTGCAGACGACATCAAAGTCGTATTTTCCTTCGTCTCCGATAATATGAAAGATAACCTATCCACAATACAAAGAGACCTCAAGGCGCTAGAAAACTGGTGCGCAATATGGAATCTCGAATTTTCCCCAGGAAAAAGCAACATTCTCTCTTACAAATGCACCGTGCCACCGAATACCCTTACTCTCAATGGCGCTCCTCTTACAGTTAGCCACTTTGTTCGTGATTTAGGGGTTCAATACTCCAATACCTTTAACTTTGCGGAACAGGTAAGCTATAGTGCAGCTAAAGCTAGGTCGTTAATAGGCTATATCTTCAAATCCATGTCACTTTTGGAATCTCGATTGACACTGTATAAAACGTGCGCTAGGCCTATTCTCGAATACTGCTCTATAGTCCTTACGAACGCACGCAAGTGCGACAGGATTGCACTCGAGAACGTACAGCGATCCTTCACCAAACGTCTATTGGGCTCAAACACGCTGAACTATCGTAGTCGATGCAAACAACTGGGACTGGACCCGCTGTGGCTACGTAGGCTAAAGATAAACATTACGTTTCTATACAAACTTAAACAAAAGCCGGAAACGAACCTGACCCGACACTTCCGAACGGAAGGAGATACCCGATATCATCTGCGCAACGCGACCTTTTCATTCAGTCTGCCGGCTGCTCGTTGTGGCATACGACATAACTTCTTCCTTTATAAATACGCGAACACATGGAACAAATTACCCCTGCAAATCCGATCATCTATGACCAGTACACACTTCAGCAATGCCATACAGAGATTCCTCGACGTAAACACAATCTCCGAACTACTAAGCCTCAAAGTGACGGACGACGAGCTATGGGAGACAGGACCAAACAACCTCTAGCGAACTAGCCTACATCCCCTTTTTAATGCTTTATTACCAACAGTTTCCTACTTCATTTTAACCTCGCATCACGACTGTTTCCGATACCTTATTCGCACGTCTGCTCGCTTTTGTCCTTCCTATCCCTACCTAGACGAAACTGCATCAAGACTTCCATCTCTTTGATCCAAATATTTCATTTACTGTTCCTTCTAGAACGTTGAGATTTACATCCTTAGCCGCATCTTTGCTTACTCTACTCCTCCCTTATGCTTAACCCGACTCTGTATATTGTATTCGGCACCTCTTCTGGTCCTTATCGCAACTCTTCAATAGTGGCCTAAGAGCACATAACGCCTGTGACCAATCCTAGGCCTCGCTAGATTCTCGTTCCTAATATCATGCCTCTCAGCTCACTTCAACGCCTCCATCTCTTGCTTGGCCTCTCTTTTGGTCCATATCGCAACTGTCCAATGGTGGCAAAGACACCACTAGCGTCAGCGCAAAATCCTAGGCCTCCTCTGATTCTCTTTGCTACTGTGGCACACATTCTTAAAACTTTCGACTAATCCGGCCACTCAGGCCCCAAATGCCCATAGGCCGCAAACCAAGGCCTCTATTCATATGAACATCGGCTGCCATTAATGAAGGTTTTCATTTTTAAATGTAACTACCTCATGATACTCGTCTCCGTCTGATACACTATCTGCATGCTCCGTCCCCCTACCGAAAACGAAAGTTCCGGTCCTTGATTAGTTTGCCTCTCGGCTCCACGCTCATGCTTCTCAGATCACAATTACCTCCCCTCTCTTGTTTGGCCTCTTCTTTGGTCCGTACCGCAATAGTTCAATGGTGGATTAGGTTCCCATAGCGTCAGCACAACATACTAGGCCACATTTGATCCATTTTCCTACTGCTCCACGCACTCTTAAACCTCCTGGACCGCACCGGCTTTCGGCTCCGAATGCCTATAGGTCTCAAACAAAAGCCTCTCTTCCCTTGAGCATCGATTACAGTTCTCATTAGCAAAATGCAATTCCAGGTCTCTGATTGACTTTTGCCCCTCGGCTCCACCATCATGAATCTCAGCTCACAAGATAACATTACCTGCACCGAACACCGCTGAAGAAGTACCTGCGACGCTCCCATGGACACAGATTCAATAAAGAACAAAGAAAAACCCGCACTTCATAATCATGGCACGCTAAAGAACCTAGGAAACTGATCAATGCAATACAAGTCACCTGAGTCGTCCGATTTCGACAGCCCCAACCACTTGTAATGGACTCCGAAGGCGACTACACAGCCATAGGAAACAAATTGGCGTTGCGTGACTGCGAATATCCGCGAGGATAATCGGTCAGATACCATCATGCCAATGTATATCAACAGCCGGCAGTATTCCAGGACGTGGTGGGTCTTCGTCTGGCAAGCGTTTTCCCTACAAAAAGCCACGAATGTCTGTTTAACAACACTGCGACGTGGCGGATGTGACTCGCCACTCAATAAAGTCACCGCCCCTAACACATTGGCAAGTTGATCGACACCACATTTACAAGTTCTGTGCATATATTGGCTCTCGCACGAACACGCCTACATATCTGACTAGTGACATACCACTATCCTTAAGTATTTTCCACCCGTTTCCTCATACTTCACTCACTGACCTACATTGCTTACGGGACCTCATCGGACTAGTTCCTCATCTACATACCATAAAGTGATCTGATCACTATTTTTACCTCTCGCAATCTGTGTACATGGACTACATACAACCTTTGGGCTCTATGGGCCCACACTACTGTCTCCAACTTTACTACTCCCACTGTTGGTGCTGCTTATTCCGCTATCATGTACAATAATGCAATATGCTGATCATGCCCAAAAAGGCGTGTCTCGCTTTGTCGAGAATAAAATATTTATTTATTTATTTATTTATTTATTTAAATGCGGACTTAGTTTATATAAATCAACGCTTATCTTTTCAACGGTCAACTTGGCATGCATATCCAGTACTCTCTTAAATATGGTCTGCTTCTTCTAATACAAATGCCGAAACTTCCCTTTTGGTCACCATTGTCCATCTGACCTACCTGTTACACCTTAGAGCTCTACCCTCGGGAGGCTCACTTAGTCTATTGAGACACCGAGGTTCCATTATATTTCACAGTTTGCTCAACTGCTTTGTTCGCACATCCACGGTTC